AACATTTTCAACAATTTGTTGTTGTTGTTTAAAAAGATGTGCAATCCTTAAAAAAGGACCCCCCCATACATTGCCAGTTACTAGAGAAAAGGTCAATCTGAAGAGAAAGGTATTTGCCTGCTGATAGAACAGCAAATAGGGGCCACTCTCATGGGAAGGAGTTCTATACGTTTTGGAGTTCTGACAGAGAAGGCATATCCTGTGAAGGTGGCAGGACTGAGAAAAAAGGCCTCCTCTGCTGATATATGAAACCTGGGCAGGCTCATACAAGGAGATGTGATCCTTGAAATAGGTTGGTCCAATGTTGTTTAAGGTTTTATAGATCAAAACCAGCATACTGTAGCCTAGATACAGACCATCAGCAACTGCAGATATTTTAACAGGAGAATAACTAGTGATTTTGCTGTAAAATTTTGGACCTGCTAAAGTTCCCCAACATTTTCCAAAGGCAGTTTCATGTGAAGCACATTAAGTAACCCAAATGGGATGCAATCAAAGCATAGGTCACCAGGGCCAGATCATATCTGTGGAGTAGTTTGAGTCTTAGACTTCCAAATTTATGTTAAATACAGTGGTACCCCGCATGATGACGATAATTCATTCTGTGAAAATCGCTGTTTAGCAAAATCATTGTGTAGCGAAAACCATTTCCCCATTGGAATGCATTGAAACCCGTTTAATATGTTCCAATGGGGAAAATACCTTGTCGTTTTGTGAAGATCACCCATAGGGCAGCCATCTTGCGAAGCGCGATCAGCTGTAAAAATGGCTGTCCTGCGAAGCATGGGTCCTGAAAACACAGGGCAGACATTTTGCAAAGCTGCCGATCAGCTGTAGAAATCATCATCTTGCGAACAAACAGTCCGCGAAGCATGGGCCAAATCGTCGTCAAGTGAAAATCGCCCATTGGAATGACTGTTTTGCGAATCGCTATAGCGATCGCAAAAAGTCATCATTATGCGGATTCATTGTTTAGCGGGGTCGTCGTCTAGCGAGGTACCACTGTACCATGATATTAGTTTAGATGAGGAAAGGGCAAAGTGTGGCTTGTAGACCTCCGATGGGCATTTTTGTGACACCCCCCCAAGAGTTTGAAGATATTCAAGGACATCTTATTTTAAAAATCCTCAAAATTGTTCTTACTAAAGATGGAGTTTTTCTGTTTCTGAAGACTTTCAGGAACATCAGTTTTCACTGTGAGGTCTTAAGGTTCTACCATTCCTCAAAGTAGAATAAAAAGAAAATTTAGATTGTCATTTTTTAAAACAAACTTTTTTTTACATAGTTTTACCTTTTTAAAAATTGTCCAGAATCAATCACTTCCAGGCTCTTTTCAGCCTGTAATAGGAGCTGGGGGTACAAATTTGCTCCCCACCAACTCCTAGAATATGCCCACTCCAATGTAGCCTGTTGAAACTATGCAATAAGCAGAGCATAACTGTTGCAGCAGAACACTATTCCTGTCCAACAATACTCACAGCAGTCTACTTCTATATGTGTGTTCTGTTGGCATTCCATGTAAAATAGGTGGAGTGTTAATGTATAGGTATTTCCAGATATATTCTTTACACAATACTGGTAACTGCACAGTCTGTCATGGGAACATCATTTTTGCTTACTTTGGCAATTTTGCAGAAAATGGATGATATTCAGTGTGCTGCTTGTACCCACAGAAGCATCTTCAGAGAGGAGACGTGGCATGGGGGTTAATTCCCTTCTGTAGTCCTCTAAATTCCCCAAAACCTGTTCCAAACAGAACTTAGATTTAAAAGAAACATTCAGTTGTTTTTACTTTTGATCAGTCAGGTTGCTGTCACTGTTGCTCTGGTTGTACAAGTAATTTATTGGTTGAAACCAAGTAGTAAGTCAAAACAGGCCCATTGAATCAATGGAAATTACATAGGTGTTGAGACTCACCAAATCCCCACTGATCCAGTGGATCTAGTCTAGCTGTGACTTACTACTAGATTTCAGCCATTGCACTGTACTTTATGAACACATTATGTGGTCCCTGCCAGGAGGAGAGAAAAAATGTATACAGGGAAATACTCTCTTGTGGCGAATTCTGATGTTGCATGGTGCAAAACAAAAAGTTCCTTGCCATTTGTAAGTGACAAGAGAATGTCATAGAAGCTGAAAAATGTCTGACACTGTGCTTAAAATCACCTCACGATGTACCTGTTCAAACCTAGTTAGAAAATAATGAGGCATTCCTCATTAACTTAAGTAACTTAGGTGCTACTACTGCATCTAAAAATAACTTTGGAAAACTGGTCACATTATTCATTACCACAAAACTAACTAGTTATAGGTAATTATATTATTTTAGCTAAACTTCCATTCCTCAAGCTGTAGAACCAGAAGGGTAGTAAACACTTTGCAGGAAGGTTCCAACACTAGAGGGGACTGAGGGGGAAGGGAGTCATAATTAGGGATGTGCGCAGACCCCCAATTCATTCTATGCCTGAATAAAGGGCAGACAAAACAAGTCTGATCTGTCCTGTGTCCTTGCCTGATGTTACATTTCTGTCCTCTGTAAAGACTGCATTCCTGTGAAGGGAGAAATGCAAACAGCAAGGCCAGATAATAAACTGAATGATGCAGGGAGGAGAAAGGGGCAAAGGGGTAAGTGGCACTTCTGGGTGCCCTGTCTTTTTTTTTAAAAAAAAAAGTTCGTTTTCCTCCCAGCTGCCTCAAGGACATTGCTAGTGGCTTCCTATGGTAGCCAAGAGGAAGGATGTGAGTGGAGAACATTGAAAGGTCACTGGACACAATCATTGTGGTCCCAATCATCTTTCATTCCTCCTTAAAAGGACACTACAGGGGACTTGCTGTTCTACACTTTGCCCACCCAGCCCAGAAATAATGAGACAAGACACAGCTGTTGGGTTTAAAACTTGGGCCACAACTTTATTAACTATTTAAAGTCATCCCCCAAAATGCAAGGGGGGCTATCGTAGTGCGATATTCTTTAATGTCTGGATAATCCTCGATCTGGCAACAACGTAAAACACACACATATACACACACACACACATATATAAAACCACTGCCCACCAATGGAGGGTTTCCAACCCTCCCTTCTCTATTGGCTAATTGCCCTGCGTCCTTGCTAATTGGGGGGAGGGAAAGTTATCCTCTGAGGCTGTTATCCTAGGGAGCCAAGCTCAACCACCTGGCTCCAACTAAAACCTGGGGAGGACAATAGTGGAGTTGATCTCAAGACATAACAACAAGCTTAATGCAACAATGAAAAATTAAAACTTAGTCAATCAGCTGTTGAGTACTCCGATTGGCTGCAGGAGAAAGGGAGCCACACAGGCAAAATTGAAACTGGTCAATCAAGCTGAAGCACCTGGACCTCTGCAATTCTACAAGCAACTTCTGTATTGGCCTTGTTGCCGAGGACATGGTGTCACACACCCCCAGTTGCCCTGTTTCTTTTTCTACACACCCAGGTTCGCTTTCGGGACGTCATGTATGTCATGTACTTTTCACCCTTTTTCGCTGCCACCAGAGGATATGTTCCTCTCTGTATGACTATTAGACCAGTGTTGTCAAATATAATAATGCTTATTTATGGGTTTGTAAGTAAATCATATAAAGAAAATCATGGATGGTCTTTTATTATCCATTCAATAAACGTTGCTTTGATTACATTTATGTTTGTTTATGTAGATTCACTTTAATCATGATATTACTATATTCAACTATTTATTTATTTCTTAGCACTTTTAACTCTTTCTAATCTTAACCACACCAACTTTCCAAATTCTTGTTTTCACTTCTTCCCTAACTATCCCTCTTAACTCTTTCAGTCTCTCTATCTCTCTATCTCTCTATCTCTCTTCTTCTCTCTAACTCTTTAACTGCCCTAACTCACTCTAACTGTCCCAAACTGTCTTTTTTCTCTCTTTAGTTCCATTGATCCTGCCTCTCCTGTCCTGTCATAGGCTCCCACACCAGAGCTCTAACCTGATGGACAGGAGTGACGTGTGAGCTGTCTGTCACACATGGGTACGCAAATTGCAGCATTTTGTTGTTGTAATTGCTCATGCTGTCTGTTGTCAGATTGCAAAAAATCATTCAGGAAAAATCTGTGATGCTATGCATATGAAGCCTTATTATGAAAAAAAGATATTTTACTCTATAAACCACTCAGAGACAAATGTGGAGAGGTAGCACATGTTGCCCTTGACACATTTAATTGTGTATTGCTGCTTGGGGGATGAGGTTTTTGAATTTGAGGGTGTGGTAGATTTTGATGGGGAAAACTTTAAGGTTGTGATACACAGTGGACCATCCACACACAAAAATGAAGAAAGATAATAGGTTCATTACTGTGCATCATAGTTTCAATTTACGGTGACTCTTCCCGGGTTTTCCAGGTGCAAACTACTCAGAAGTGATTTATTAGTCCCTCTTTCCAGTGGTGTTCTGCAACTGTGCATCTTGCCCAAGGCAGCACAAATAGCAGGGCAATAACCCTATCAGCTACACACACTCTGGATGATCTCAGCTGGGATCTCTTCTAGGGGCCTCAATAAGGATTCAAACTTTGGATGTGGAGAAGAAAGAAAAAAAGTGCGCCAAATCAGGCCAGATGCCATGACCACTGTTCTTGAACACAGGCTGCTAGCAAGCAAGAGTCAGTGAAAAACAAGGTTGTTAAAGCGTCTCTTTGCAGTTTCCCTGGAACCAAGAAGGATCCTATAGATCTGGCCATTGCCTTAGGCCAGTCACACAGTCCCTTGATGGTTTATTTTTTAAAAAAGCAACAAAGCAGTCTTTTTAATCAGCAGAACAATCAAATTTAGGGTCACAACAGGTTGCAAAGCCAGTTAGGGCCAAATTGATATTTAATGGTGGAAATCAGTTTGGCATAAATTTATATAGTGCAATGTTGGATAACATCATCATCCAGCAAGTGATATCCTCTTGCGCTTCAGGTTCTGAAGCTTGCTAGGGATCCCTTTTGCCCTTGGGAAGCCTTTGGGAGCCTTGTGACTGGTGTGTGTGGAGCTTTAATATCAGAAAATCACTGCTTGTTGTTCTACTGGCTAGGTCCCTGGGCTGAAGCAGCAGCAGGAGGCCCATAGTTGGTGCAGCCCTCCTCTCTCCATGGCTGAGGGCTAGATGAAGGTGGACCAATTTCAGCACACATTGCCAAGGTCAAAAGTGCTCCTAGGGAGTTTTGGAACCTAGAGGAGAGAGGGACAGGACGTTTTTAATTTAATGATATTAAACAGATCCGTTGCTCCATGATGATAATCCAGTCTGGCTTGTGCAGCATCAATGTACACTAACAGGATTTCAACCACTGCTTGAGCTTGGAGGACATGGACTCCTCACCGAAGTGGGATCTGTCTTCTGGCAATAGATGCAGCAGAAGATGTGGGAAGCACATCTTCCACATAATTCAAAACACTGTGTCACATCAGTACTCTGAGGAAGGCAACTGTAGTTACTAATCCAGACAATCCTGCTTATAATAACATCCTATGTCTGATGGGAAAATCTAGCCTATTTACTTGTGGGTAACTGCTTCCTTGATTTTAATACCAAGAGTTTTGTTTCTCATAATCTTTCTTCATGATATTCTGAAAACACAACAGAAATGACATATAATCATATACTTAAAATGTGGTCCTGTTAACCAAATTATTTATGCATCTGAGATATAGCATATAAAATTACTAGCCTCTCTGAATGCACATCCTGTTCTGTATAAAATCAAAATGGTGGTTATCAATTAGGATGTCATAATGGACAATCGATCAATCAATCTTGACACATGCCTAACTCCAAATGCCAGGATTTAAAAGACTACGCCCACATTAATCCTTCAAGGATTTTCAGACTTATTTGCATTTAGGTACATCTATCAATGTGACAAATTAAACTGTATGAGAAGGGGAGGAGGAGTATATTCAGCAAATTCGCTGTATGTGTTCCCCAGTCTCCTTTACCAGCTCCCTGTTTCCTCCTGGAACATAAGTAATCTATCGCCCACCACAATTTGCACTGCAAGGTACACCTTGTTTTTTTCCTGCAGGTCTGTTAATGGAATTTGGCATTTAAAACAAAGCAAAACACATGTATATGGAGAGTTTTGAGGGATTTTAATATAATCAGTATGTATGGTCTACTAATAGTCAATTGTGATAAAAATGTATAGTGGTAAGACAGACAAAAGTATAAAAATAAAATGAAGAGATGTTCTTTGGGAGTCATGCATATTCCACAACTAATTTTTGAAATATGACACACATTTTAATCACTTTGATTGTTTACCGAGGTATCTTTTTGAAAGAGAAAATAAACTTCAATAGACCAAATAAAATTAATAGGTACACACACATACACACAAAGAAATGCATGTTGGGCAAAATAAACTTGTGTAATTTTATTCCATTGTAACCTAGATTGGGCACTGAAAACATTTTATTTAAACTCGTGGAAAATTTCCTATCTCTATGAGATTGACCATAGGCAAGTTTCAGAAGTGTGCAAATATTTGAGGCTTGCATTACATTTTGAAGAAATAATAAACACTCCAAACCATGCATACTTTTAAAAACAAAGTGGATGTAAATGTGTACAAATATCCGTGGTGGAGGATTGACATCTCCTAACCTGTTCTGAATATAGAATGGGGTATGATCTTTAGTATGATTTGGAGAAATGCATCAAAATTGAAATCAAAAGTATT